TTTCCCAAGCTACAATTACACTCAAAGAAGTTTTATTTCATGCTTCTTTTGCACTTCATTGTAACCATATAATAATTGGTGACAAAAATGAAATTGCAACTACAGATCCCAGAATCTTAAAGCCTTATCCACGCTGGCAAGTTACAGTGCAGCAAATCCACTCCCAGCACTGTAACTTCTGTGGTGTACACACTGGCAGGGCACTAGTGGACACTAAATTCAGAGTTGCTGCACTCGAGATAAACCACCTCAATGAGAGTTGTCTAGCTTTCTGCACAGTGACTGCAGTACTGGGGTGCCTGAGTGGAGGCCATGGTCTGCAATAGCACTGTGACTGGTTTCCAATAATTCTCCCACAATGTCTGTCCTTGCCTCTTTGGCCACAATTTCAAGTCTACTGCTTTGCCCTCATGTGATCAACCCTCAGCCCCCCCATTTACATTCCTTGGGAATTTTGGAAGTCTTTTCCCTATTTGCTAGGTGATGTGTGGCGTGTACTCAGAACATCTTTCCTCCATGAACCAGGCGATCTCCTACTTGCCAAGTTGCTGGATCTCATCAGTGTTTGGAATGAGGAGTCTGTCTAGTTCCAGCTGTGCTCCAGCCATAGGAATTATTATACCTATGGGAAGATATGAAGATGCATGACTGAAAGGGGGCATGACTGGGATGCACTGCAGTGCAGGGACAAAGTGAAGGAGCTGCAATGGTGTTCTGCCCACAACCTGCCAATCCTACAAAGAGCTGGATGACATTCTTGGTGACAACCCTATCTCTGCACTGGAGACCCCAGTGAACACTTCAGGAGCTCAGGGGCCATCACGGAGTGGACTGAGCCAGAAGGAGGAAATCCTGGATAAGGGTGCAGAGGGGGAGGGCAATCCAGAGCCAGACAATGGCTTAGCATCCCCAGATGCATGTGGACAGGAGCTATTTCCTCCCTGGAGTGGGTGAGCCAGTCACAGCAATCAGAGGTTCGGGGAAGAGCAAGCACCAAAGGATGTGCCAGGCTTTGATTTTGGGAAGCACTGAAGTGAGTTTTAATTTCTTTTTATTTTAATTTCTAATAATCCCTACTGAACTTTTTCCTAATGTCCAGCCTTAACCTCCCTTGCTGCAGTTTAAGCCCATTGCTTCTTGTTCTATCCTCAGAGGCCAAGATGAACAAGTTTTCTCTCTCTTTCTTATGACACCCTTTTAGATACCTGAAAACTGCTCTCATGTCCCCCCTCAATCTTTTCTCTTTTCTAAACTAAACATTGCTTCTTGTCCCATCCTTAGAGGCCAAGGATAGGACAAGAATTTTTCTCCCTCCTCCTTATAACAAATACCCTTTTAGGTCCTTGAACATAAGACTAGCCAGACCGGATCAGACCACTGATCTGTTCCACTCTCCTGTCTTTTGACAGTGGCTGGTGCCAGATGCCTCCGAGGGAATGAATGGAATAGGGCAGTTAAGTGATCCAGCCATGGGTCTTCCAGGCCCAGCTTCTGGCAGTCAGGTTTAGGGACACCCCGAGCATGGGGCTGTGTCCCTGATCACCTGGGCTATAGCCATTGATGGACCTGTCCACATTGACATCAGCTAATTATTTTTACCCACTAGTACTTTTAGCTTTCACCACAACCCCTGGCAAAGTGTTCCTGGGGCTGACTGTTTCCTGTGTGACATTGGTAGGGCAACTTTGCACCTACTGCCCTACCAATGTCAGTGGGTGGCCGCTGATTCTTGTGTTGTGGGAAGGGCTCAGTGACATGTCCATATTTACTTTCTCCACATCACTCGTGATTTCATAGACCTCTGTCGTATTCCTCTTTGGCGGAAAAGTTGTAGGCTTTCTAATCTCTTATGGAAGCTGTTCCATACCCCTAACTAGGTGGTGTTCTTCTCTGTACTTTTTCCAGATGCAGGGTTGTTGTTTTCTGATGGGGGGCAATCAGAACCGCACACAGTACTGCTCTCTGTCATTGTAGTGGTTGGAAAACTGGACTAGGCATAGCTGGCAGTCACTTGTTCATGCTTCAATATATTTCCTAGCATTTGGCCCAGTCTGTTTTGAAAGAAACCCTGAGATGGCCCCGAGGAGACAACTACACAGTCCAACAAATGCTGCTGCTGAAATGTTCTCACTCTATGAAACATTCTCCATAAAAGCAAAGCTTCATGCATATGCAAACTGACAATCATAACTGCTCCCATGTCACTTCTCTGTAAATGAACTACTCTCGCCCTTGTGAAGAACTTCATGCTTAAACCATACAGAGAGTAGCAAGCAGCCAAAGTGCATAGTTCATTTTCCCAAGTCACTGACTGTTACTATGGCTATCAATGCTGCCACACAAATGCCTTGAAAATTATTCGTTTAAACTCAAAATACATGGAAATAGCCAGAAAAACCAGATTTGGTTGTGCTCATTTCTGCTTTTATGGCATGACAAACAGGAGAGAAAATTCTGAGATGAATTAATGCTGATCTTAACTTAAATCACTTGAACTCTTCATCATCTGTGTGTGTGTGATCACTGAATGGTGGGCTGGCTACATGTGTTTTTTCACAACTGGTCGGCTAAGTCCTATACCCACATGAAAAATTCAGCATTTGGGAATATTATGTACAATTATGATTCTCTCTGAAGGATGCTGTGTCCATAAAGTACAACACTGTGGATGCAGCGGGGATATAAAAGACTGCTTATAAATTCTAGATACACAGACCAATTCTTCCCCTAATACTGCATTGCAGTAGAGAGCCTTTGCATTGCATACTGATGAACTGTATTTGTGGTACAGTTTAGGAGCTAGTGGGGGAATTAGAGGTGGGTGACAACCTGGGAAGCAGTGATCATGAGATGGTAGATTTCAGGATCCTGACCAAAATATACACCCTGGACTTCAGAAAAGCAGTCTTTGACTCCCTCAGAGAACTGATGGACAGGATTCCCTGGGATGCTTATATGAAAGGGAAAGGAATCCAGGAGAGCTGGCAGCATTTAAAAGAAGACTTATTAAAGGCACAGGAAGAAACCATCCCAATTCGCAGCAAGAGAAGCAAATATGGTAGGCGACCAGATTGGCTTACCGGGGAAATCATTGGTGAGCTTAAACACAAAAAGGAAGTTTACAAGAAGTGGAAACTTGGACAGATGACTAGGGAGGAGTATAAATACGTTGCTCGGGAATGCAGAGGAGTTATCAGGAAGGCAAAATGCAATTGGAATTGCAGCTAGCAAGGGATGTGAAGGGTAACAAAGGTTTCTACAGGCATGTTAGCAATAAGAGGGTGATTAGAGAGGGTGTGGGGCCCTTACTGGATAAGGGAGCTAACCTAGTGATGGATGATGTGGGAAAAGCTGACGTACTCAATGCTTTCTTTGCCTCTGTCTTCACGGACAAGGTCAGCTCCCAGACAAATGCACTAGGCAACGCAGTATGGGAAGGAAGTGGACAGCCCTTGGTGGGGAAAGAACAAGTTAGGAACTATTTAGAAAAGCTAAACATACACAAATCTATGGGTCCGGATGTAATGCATCTGATGTAATGTCATTGCGGAGGCTTTGGCCATTATCTTTGAAAACTTGTGGAGATCAGGAGAGATCCCGGGTGATTGGAAAAAGGAAAATGTAGTGCCCATCTTTAAAGAAGGGAAGAAGGACGATCCAGGGAACTACAGACCAGTCAGCCTTATCTCGCTCCCTGGAAAAATCATGGAGGGGATCCTCGAATCTATTTTGGAGCAGTTGGAAGAGGGGAAAGTGATCAGGAATAGTCAACATGGATTCATGAAAGGCAAATCATCTGACCAATCTGATTAGCTTCTAATGATGAGGTAACTGGCTCTGTGGATATGGGAAAGTCAGTGGATGTGATATACCTTGACTTTAGCAAAGCTTTTGATACGGTCTCCCACAATATTCTTGCCAGCAAGTTAAGGGAATATGGATTGGATAAATGGACTGTAAGATGGATAGGAAGCTGGCCAGATTGTTGGGCCCAACTGACAGTGATCAACGGATTGATGTCAGGTTGGCGGTCGGTTTCTAGCAGTGTGTCCCAAGGATCTGTTCTAGGACTGGTTTTGTTCAACATCTTTATTAATAACCTGAATGAGGGGATGGATTGCACCCTCAGCAAGTGTGCGGATGACACTAAGTTAGCAGGTGAGGTAGATACACTGGAGGGTAGGCATAGGGTCCAGAGTAACCTAGACAGATTAGAGGATTGGGCCAAAAGAAATCTGATGAGGTTCAACAAGGACAAGTGTAGAGTCCCGCACTTAGGACAGAAGAATCCCAAGCATAGTTACAGGCTAGGGACTGATTGGCTAAGTAGCAGTTCTGCAGAAAAGGATCTGGGGGTTACAGTGGATGAGAAGCTGGATATGAGTCAACAGTGTGCCCTTGTAGCCAAGAAGGCTAATGGCATATTAGGGCGCATTCGGAGGAGCATTGCCAGCAGATCTAGAGAAGTGATTATTCCCCTTTATTCGGAGTATTGTGTCCAGTTCTGGGCCCCCCAATATAGAAAGTATGTGGACACATTGGAGAGGGTCCAGCAGAGGTGACCAAAATGATTAGGGGGCTAGAACGCATGAGGAGAGACTGAAGGATTTGGGTTTGTTTAGTCTGCAGAAGAGAAGAATGAGGGGGGATTTGAGAGCAGCCTTCAACATCCTGAAGGGAGGTTCCAAAGAGGATGGAGAGAGGCTGTTCTCAGTAGTGACGGATGGCAGAACAAGGAGCAATGGGCTCAAGTTACAGTGGAAGAGGTCTAGGTTGGATATTAGGAAAAACTATTTCAGTAAGAGGGTGGTGAAGCATTGGAATGGCTTACGTAAGGAGGTGGTGGAATCTCCATCCCTAGAGGTTTTTAAGTCTCGGCTTGACAAAGCCCTGGCTTGGGTGATTTAGTTGGGGTTTGTCCTGCCTTGGGCAGGGGGCTGGAGTTGATGACCTCCTGAGGTCTCTTCCAGCTCTATGATTCTATGTGTGTGACATTTTCTCTATGGATATTATAGAATTTGCTGGGAAAAGTCTCCCTCACACACATTATTGGAAATTACTGTCAGGCATCTGAAGTTTGTCTAATGCCTGCACAAGCCATGAATGTAACAAGTGATCAGAAGCTGTAACTTTCAGAATAAGTATTGATCACTATTGAGTTGTTTTTGAAAGAGGGCAGGGAGATGATTTGCCATTGCTTTCTCACAGTGGAAGGAGCAGACTGCACTTTGCAATTCTTTGTGACCTGTCAGCTGACTTGTGTTTTAGCAGGCAAGAAGAACCCATCATCCAAGGGCAAGGTAGTGCTGACCAACATGCGGATACTGAGCAATGGGTTGACAGTGTTGCCACCTACAGCCATAGACCATGCAGAGGAATCCAAGCTTCCCAAAGTCAACATCCCACTAGAATGCTTGGGAAATCCGGGCACAGGAGACTCCTCTGCAAAACGAGACAATGTGGCCACTCTGACTTACCTCAACACCTTACAGTCCAAGTGCCAGCTTCATAGATTGTCCAAATTTGAATCGGAGGATTCTGGGGTTGAACTGCCAAGTGGAGCTAATTCTCCATCTACACCAAAGGGCTCAGAGAAGAGCTTTGTGCTTCACACCGGAGACTTATCTTCTGACTCTGGAGTGCTCAGCACCTCTTCTTCTCCAGAAATTGACCATATCATAAGACAGGGTAAAGACATCAGAGAGGCCAGCCAGCGTGCCACAGAAAGTGAAAAGCAAGTTGAATATTACAGCCAGGCAGCAGATACGGTGCAGATCCCTACAGCTTCCTTAGAACATTTCAGTGATTGTCAGGAGGAACAAAGTCCTGATCAATTTTTTGGCCAAAGTGAAGGACAATATTTGGAAGAGAATCCCAGCAAAGAGAAAGACCTTTCTATTAAAGACAATCCTCTAGCTGTTTACCCCAAAGAAAAGCAAAGGCCAATCATCAACCATTACAAAGATACCTTTGGGAGTATGCAAGATCTTCAGCTCCATGGACACCAGCTCACAAAATATCCCACAAGCGACAGCTTAGATGAATACATGGATGAGTGTTGTCGATTAAGTGAGGTAAGAAACCAGACATGCAAACTGAAATACTACAGATGGAATTTTCAAGTCAGTCTAAGTTGCACAGGTAAAAATCCCATTGATTTCAATGGGAGCAGAGTTAGGCCAACTTTAGAGTGCGGGTTTCTAAAGCACTCAAAGTATTAAGGTCTGTGGAGAATTGCTGTTTATTTTAAGCAACTGTAATTTATATGAAATGACATTGTTGAGGAACTTATGAGCCCAAGAGCCAGAGCCTCAGCTATCGAAGATCAAAACTAAGTGACTAGTTCTAGGACAATTTACACCAACCGAGGCTCTGATTCAGTCATGCACTGAATGGCAGAGGTGCTGCTGCTATTAAATGCACACATGTTTTGAAGGGGTGGTGGAGTAGTGAGCATGCTATTCATCTCATGAGATTGCCACCTCACAGTATCCCAGAAGGTGCTGTCACAGGCCTAGAAATTTGATAATACGTGTAACATCAGGGCGAAGTCATCCTTGTTACTGGAAGTGGTGGCTCCTTTGTGTAGCGAGTGAATTAAATGCACAGAGGAACACTGCAGAACTGCTTGTATTCATACTTTCTTTAATTAATGTCTATCACACCAGAGCAGCAAAAACCTCAGTGCTTTGAGATCAGCAGGTGAAAGGTGGAGCATAAGCACAGAGCTGCCTCTTCCTCAATAGCTTGGCCAGTTTCATAGACTTATTTGCTTCTCCATCATAGAGTAGAATGTGCACCTGCTTAGTCTGAAATGCAGCTAGAAAAGTGTTTGTCACAGGCTGGAGAAGGAGAATAAGATGACTTGTTGTGCAGCTGCTCTGTCTTGGCAAGAGTTGCTCTAGTGCTTTGTTTCATGTGCTGACAGACTGCTGATTTGCTGTCTTGTGCTTCTGCTTTCAAGATCTAGCAATAATAAAACATAATCAAGTAATTAATTCTTGAGAGAGGGAGACCAAAGTGTACCACGATCAAAAGGAAGTAGCTATAAGGCCTTGTCAAACTCAATAATCCTGCAAACATACTGAGTATGGTGAAAGATGCACAATGCGGAAACTCTTCTACTTGTGTCCTTCTCTCCCCTCCCGCCAGCAGCTTGACTATTATGCCTGGTCTATACTATGTGGTTAGACTAATGTAACTGCCTTGCACCAATCTAACTGTGGAAGTGTCTTTGCTTAAATTTGGCTCCTGCTGATTTAAGTGCTTCTCTACACGCATTTAGTAACACCAGCTCTCCAAGAAGCCTAGAGTCATTGTTGATATAGCTGGGTCAATACAGTGTCAGTATAGACCCTGTGATAGAAATGTAGCCGTGTTAGTCTGGGGTAGTTGAAGCAAAATGCAGGACAATGTAGCACTTTAAAGACTAACAAGATGGTTTATTAGATGATGAGCTTTCGTGGGCCAGACCCACTTCCTCAGATCAAATAGTGGAAGAAAGTAGTCACAACCATATATACCAAAGGATACAATTAAAAAAAATGAACAAATATGAAAAGGACAAATCACATTGCAGAACAGAAGGAGGAGGCGGGGGGGTGGGAAGGGGGAGGAAGGAAGGTAAGTGTCTGTGAATTGATGATATTAGAGGTAGGGAGAGTGGGATGTTTGTGAGTTAATGGTATTACAGGTGATAATTGGGGAAACTGTCTTGATAATGGGTGAGAAAGTTCAAAGACTTGTTAAGTCCCTGGTGGTAAGTGTCGAATTTTAACATGAATGACAGTTCAGAGGATTCCCTTTCAAGTGCAGATGTAAAAGGTCTTTGTAGCAGAATGCAGGTGGCTAAGTCATTTAGAGAGTGTCCTTTCTGGTTAAAGTGGCAAGAAACTGTTTTCTCTTTGTGATCTTGTCTGATATCTGTTTTGTGGGCATTAATCCTTTGGCGAAGTGTCTGAGATGTTTGTCCAATGTACATAGCAGACGGACACTTTCGGCACATGATAGCATAGATTATATTTCTGGATGCGCAGGAATATGTGTTCTTGATCTTATAACTCACTTGGTTAGGTCCAATAATGGTATCAGCAGAATGAATATGTGGACAAAGCTGGCAACGGGGTTTGTTGCAAGGGAAGGTACCAGGGTTGGTATTAGTGTGGTATGTCCTGTGGTGGTTGGTAAGAATCATCTTGAGGTTAGGTGGTTGTCTATAGGAGACTATGGGTCTGTCTCCCAGAGCCTCTTTGAGTATGGTATCCTGTTCCAATATAGGCTGTAGTTTATTGATAATGTGTTGGACAGGTTTAAGTTGGGGGTTGTAGGTGATGACAAGTGGTGTTCTATTGTTGGTTTTCTTGGGTCTGTCTTGAAGTAGATGGTTTCTAGGTATTCGTCTGGCTCTTTCAATTTGCTTTTTTGTTTCTCTGGGTGGGTAGTTGAGATTTATAAATGCTTGGTAGAGATCCTGAAGCTTCTGGTCTCTGTCAGTGGGGTTAGAGCAGATGCGGTTGTATCGAAGGGCTTGGCTATAGACGATGGATCGTGTGGTGTGTTCTGGATGGGAGCTGGATGCATGTAGGTAACTGTATGAGTCAGTGGGTTTTCTGTAGAGAGTGGTGTCTAATTTTCCATTGTTGATTTGTACGGTGGTGTCCAGGAAGTGGATCTCTCGTGTAGAATGGTCCAGGCTGAGGTTGATGGTGGGGTGTAGGTTGTTGAAATCTCTGTGGAATATCTCCAGTGTTTCTTGGCCATGTGTCCAGATCATAAAGATGTCATCGATGTACCGTAGGTAGAGGAGGGGTGAAAGGGGACGGGAGTTGAGGAAACGTTGTTCTAGGTCAGCCATAAAGATGTTAGCATACTGTGGGGCCATGCGTGTACCCATGGCTGTGCCGCTGATCTGGAGGTATAAGTTGTTCTCAAACCGGAAATAATTGTGGGTGAGAACAAAGTTACATAGGTCTGCTATCAGGTTGGCAGTAGTGTCCTCTGGGATAGTGTTTCTAATTGCTTGTAATCCGTCTTCATGTGGGATGTTGGTATATAGAGCTTCTACATCCATGGTGGCAAGGATGGTATTATTGGGGAGGTTATCGATGTTTTGTAGTTTCCTTAGGAAGTCAGTAGTGTCTCGGAGATAGCTGGGGGTATTGGTTACGAAGGGTTTGAGAAGAGTGTCTACATAGCTGGATAGACCAGTAGTGAGCGTGCCAATACCAGAGATGATGGGACGTCCGGGGTGCCCAGGTTTATGGATCTTGGGAAGTAGATAGAACAATCCTGGTCGGGACCCTAAATTTTTTATGTTGACTGTTTCTGGCCTTCAGGAGCTGTCCCACAGAGCCCCATATTGACAATATAATCAACACAAGAAACCAAAGTGTGCACACGCACCAGTGACTTTGTAACTGCAGTGGCTGCCAGTCACCGTAAGTTAGGTAGACAGTTTTGTAGTGTAGACCTCACCTTAGACTAGCAACACAGTAGTGCTGAGCCCTGACACTTGCCTAATTCTCATTGAATTCAGTGGAGGGTGGGGGTGTCTCAATCCTTTTGAGATGTGGGTGTAAGCTCCCAAGCCGTGATTTTCAAGTATCACTAGTGGCTTGGGATGCGTGCAACATAAGACACTAAAGAGACCTGAGATTTATGAAAGCTGTGCATTCACGCTTTCAAATCTGTCCCCAAGATGCGTTGCATTTAGCTTTACAGACCCACCCCTCACTAGCTGAGTCTCACGTAAATTATTAATCAATTTTGGGCAATCTTAGTCTTTCCATTTAAATTGTAAGGTTCATGGGGCAATCTTCTCATGGGGTGTGTGTACAGAACCTAGCACGAGGGGACCACCAACAAACAGATTGCATTTAAAATGAAATAGTGTTAGATAGTGCTTTAGCCTATACCCCAGACAGTGCCCACCACTTAAGTGATGTACATATGTATAGTAAACATACTTTATTTGGAATCTAATGACTGGAAGGTAGCTAATGTGACACCAATATTTAAAAAGGGCTCTAGAGATGATCCTGTCAATACATGATCCTTGTCCGTCCCAGGCAAATTAGTTGAAAGTATAATAAAGTAGGGTCACCATATATCCAGTTTTTCCTGGACGTGACCTTGTTTTCACGTTATATCGCTGGCTGGCTGGCTTTTAAAAATGTCAAAAAATGTCGGGGATTTTGCCCTGCAAAGGGGATCGGAGAGGGGCCGGGGCATGTGCTTGTCAAATGGAACATTCGGAGCCATGC